GTAAAATAGTTGACTAGGGTCTCTGAAAAACTGGATCAACAAGGTAAGATGGGGTTCTTGGAGATCGAGTGTAGGGGGGGAGGTATGTTCGACAAGCAATTTTCGCTGTTACTTGGACAAGCGAGAGCTCGACTTGCACACGAGATCATTTGGCACTCACCTGGAACTTCAGTCCTGGAAACCATACTACGAACGCGAAGTTGGCACGATGGGCCATGGCGCTGTCCAATCTGCTGTTGAGTACATCACAAGCCTGGGGTATTCCTAGGACACATAGTAACTCCTACCGGGATACCACTTAATCCAGAGAAGGCCAAGGCCGTGATGAACGTGAGGCGCCCGCAAGACCTACCTGCGATCCGATTCGTTTCTTGGGGACTGATGAACTATTTTTTTCTTTCGTTATATTTTCGAGGATTACGCCCTCGAATTGTGGGGCGCCCCCTGGAACGCGTTTGAAGGTGGCAAGATGCGCTATTTTGCGTGGAATATGATGACTGTGAGGCGCCCTTCCACCAGCTCAAGCGAGCGTTGATGAAGCCTTCGATTCTAGCCTACTCGGATGTCAAGAGACGTTTCAAACGTTACGTGGATTCGTACCGATACGCTGTCGGAGCCTGTCGGATGCAGGAAGTAGTCGGTCGAGACCGTGTAGTGGCGTACGCTAGTAATTTGTTGACAGGGTCCCTAAAAAACGGGATCAACAAGCAAGATGGGATCTTGGAGATCGAGTGTAGGGGGGGAGGGTATGTTCGACAAGTAATTTTCGCTGTTACTTGGACAAGCGAGAGCTCGACTTGTACACGGATCTTTTGGCACTCACCTGTAACTTCAGTCCTGGAAACCATACTACTAACGCGAAGTTGGCACGATGGGCCATGGCGTTGTCCAATCTGCTGTTAAGTACATCACAAGCCTGGGGTGTATTCCTGGGACACACAGTAACTCCTACCGGGATACCACTTAATCCAGAGAAGGTCAAGGCCGTGATGAACGTGAGGCGCCCGCAAGACCTACCTGCGATCCGACTGTTCTTGGGACCGATGAGCTATTTCCGTCGTTATATTCCGGGATACGCCTCGATTTGGGCGCCCCTGGAACGGTTGAAGGTGAAAGATGCGCTATTTGCGTGGAATGATGACTGTGAGGCGGCCTTCCACCAGCTCAAGCGAGCGTTGCTGAAGCCTCCGATTCTAGTCTACTCGGATGTCAAGAGACGTTTCAAACTTTACGTGGACTCGTACCGATACACTGTCGGAGCCTGTCTGATGCAGGAAGTAGACGGTCGAGACCGTGTAGTGGCGTACGCTAGTAAATTGTTGACAGGGTCCCTGAAAAACTGGATCAACAAGCAAGATGGGATCTTGGAGATCGAGTGTAGGGGGGGTATGCTCGACGGAAATTTTCGCTGCTACTTGGACAAGCGAGAGCTCGACTTGTACACGGATCTTTTGGCACTCACCTGGAACTTCAGTCCTGGAAACCATACTACAAACGCGAAGTTGGGACGATGGGCCATGGCGTTGTCCAATCTGATGTAAAGTACATCACAAGCCTGGGGTGGATTCCTGGGACACACAGTAAATCCTACCGGGGATACCCACTTAATCCAGGAAAAGCCAAAGCCGGGCTGAAAGTGAAGAGGCCGCGAGAACTAACTGCGATCCGATCGATCCTTGGGACTGATGGAGTGGTATGATCCTGGGAAACCCCTTGATTTGGGCGCCCCTGCAACGCTTGAAGATGGAAAGAATGCGCCATTAAAGGCGAAAGAAGTACTGTGTGGGGGGGCTTTCGACCGCTCCAAGGTGCGTAGAGGAAGACATCGGAAACTAGATCAGTCTGGAATTGCGAGAAACAGTACAAACCTTTAATAGAGACACGTAACGATAGCTACTCCCTGAACCATGCGTTGAGTGCGAAAAGGGAAGGAGGAAAAAAGCAGAGAGAAGTAAGGAACCATACGAAATCTTAGAAGATGGGAGCGGGGAGAAAGTCGGAAAGAAAAATGATTAATTGGGATTTAAGTGGACAAAGGGGGATGGGGGAGGGGGGGCGCGGCCCCCCGACTGGGTTTAGTAGAGGCGGGGCTGATGGGTTAATCCGGGGAACTGGAAAATGTCGGTTTTGTATGGCTTACGAATTATGTTAATGC